CTGAGCTCAAGCAATCTACCTCCTTTGGCCTCCCAGAATGCTAGGATTACAGGTGTGAGCCACCACACCTGGTCAAATTGAAGGTTTTTTTTAAAAAGTTATCAGGGACACTTGAGCAGTTTTTCAGATGTGGTTGTGAAGGGTTGTTGTGTGTAGAAGAATGGTAAAGAAATAAAGTTTAGGAGAAATTAAATGCGTAATGACTATGGCAGGGCCACCCCTCTAGGTCCACAAAACTGTCTCCAGCTACCCTCCTGTGGTTTAAAAAAAAAAAAAAATCAGAGGATTACCTTCATAATTTCTTGGAGTCAAAACTCTCCACTGAGAAATTCACAATAGGGAGAGTGGGAGTCAGTGCCCATCAAAATACTATGGAGCTGGGGGGGGGGAGTGTAGAATCAGCTACCCTACCCCCTTTCCCAGCATCACGTCATCCTGATGAAATACACCGGGAGGAAGTAGTGGTTTAAGCAGTTTTTAGACTTTAGGATTCTAAAACATAATAGCTTCTCACATTGAGGAGCTATGTTCTGCTAAATGATTTTTTTTTTTTTTTTTTGTAGAGAAAAAGTCTCACTTTATCACCCTCGGTAGAGTGTGGCATCACACAGCTCAGATCAACCTCCAACTTCTGGGCTTAGAGGCGATTCTCTTGCCTCAGCCTCCCAAGTAGCTGGGACCCCAGGTGCCTGCCACAAAGCCTAGTTCAGCGGGGACTGGGTTTGAACCCTCCACCCTTAGGTGTATGGGGCTGGCACCCTACCCACTCAGCCACAGGTGCTGCCCATCTGGTAGCTGATTTTTTTCCCTTGAATTACATTGAGAGGTTGAGACCTTACAAGTAGGCCTGCAAAAAGTGTCCAACATGGTGTGGTGGTGCCTGTGGCTCAGTGGGTAGGGCACTGGCCCCATATACCAAAAGTGGTAGGTTCCAACCCTGCCCCACCAAATTGCAACAAAAAAATAGCCGGGTGCCTGTAGTCCCTTGCTACTAGGGAGGCTGAGGCAAGAGAATTGCCTAAGCCCAGGAGTTGGAGGTTGCTGTGGGCAATAAAGTGAGACTCTGTCTTTACAAAAAAAAAAAAAAAGTCCTGTTTTTCCAGGGCCCATCGTCTCTCTGAATCTTTTGCCTATATTTGCCCCATCCCATTTTCTCCTTTGGCTCCATCGCCATTATTTTAATAATAGGCTTGAGCCCTACTTTTCTCTTGTGTAACCCATGGGCTTATCTGCATGTCACTGAAATTGTTATCTGTTCAGGTTCTTGCAGATACCACAGGGAGAGGAGACTGTTTTAGTTCTCTAGAAAGGTCTAAAGGACTAAAACTCCTGCTCTAGGTTTTTAGGTTGTTCTTTCCTCTGCAGCAATGCTATAGCCAAGTTTTCTCCTATAATAGCAAACCAACTGGCCACAGGGAGAATTAGCTTTTCGTTTGAAAACCTCTCAATCTAATCACTCGGGGTAGGTATTGTCCTCTTAAAATGCCCCACTTCTTTCACATTATTGCATTCTCTACATGCTGGGTTTATTATACTAGAGATCATTTACAGCTTCCCCCCACCATTTCAAGAGTCCCCATTTAGCTGGTAATGATTCCACTTAGGTCACCCGGAAAATGGCAGCCTACTTCTCATCTTCCTGTTTCTTCCCTGAATGACAGAGTCACGAGTTTCAATATATCTGGACACGGAAATAAGGCATATATAAAGCCAGCGGTATCTGTACCATTTGATAAGAGCTAATGGCCCTTGGTGGAGAATGAAAAGTCACAATATGTTTTATAACAAGAAATTCTTCTAGTTACCAGAAACTGTGGATGCTGCCCTAGGGTTCTCCTACCCCAGTGTGAAAACTTCATATAGAAAAATAAAAATGAGGGTGGCATCTGTGGCTCAGTGAGTAGGGTGCAAGCCCCATATACCAAGGGTGGTGGGTTCAAACCCAGCCCCCGCTGAACTACAACAAAAAAATAGCCGGGTGTTGTGGCAGTTGCCTGTAGTCCCAGCTGGTTGGGAGGCTGAGGCAGGAGAATTGCCTAAGCCCAGGAGCTGGAGGTTGCTGTGAGCTGTGATGTCATAGCACTCTACTGAGGCAAGAAAGTGAGACTCTGTCTCTAAAAAAGAAAAAAGAAAAACTTAAAAAAAGAAAAAGAAAAATGAAAGCAAAGTCTGAGCTGTGGAACAAATCTATATTGTAGTAAAATGTTAACAAATGCCTAAAATATTTTAATGAATTGTTTTGTTGGAAACAAAAGTAGACTGTCCTTATTTTGAACAATTTTCACTCTATATCTACAATGAGTTGGTTAATGCCTGCTACTTTTCTTTCTTTCTTTTTTTTTTTTTTTCCTGAGACAGAGTCTCACTATGTCACCCTTGGTAGAGTGTGGTGGTGTCATAGTTCACAGCAACCTCAAACTCTTGGGCTTAAGCGATTCTCTTACCTCATCCTCCCAATTAGCTGCCTTGGTAGAGTACCATGGCATCACAGCTCACACAACTTCAAACTCTTGGGCTTAAGTGATTCGTCAGCCTCCCGGGTAGCTGGGATTATAGGTGCCTGCCACAATGCCCAGCTATTTTTTGGTTGTAGTTGTCATTGTTCTTTGGCAGACCTGGGTGGGATTTGAACCTGCCAGCTCCCGTGTATGTGGCTGGCGCCCTAGCCACTGAGCTACAGGCGCTGAGCCAATGCCTACTACTTTTCAAGATACTTCTAGTCTACTCCTCCGTCAAGGAGTTTAACTCCGATAGGAGAGATGAGACAAGCACTCAAATAAAAGACAGAGTAAGCTAGTGCCTAAAGAGAAGTGACATGATCTGTGCAGCTACACCACTAAGATGGGACAAAAGGTGACTCTTTTCTAGCTTTTATAAATGTGAAGGCACTCACAAGGGAGCTTGCACTCCTAATCTGATACAATACTCACTATGTGACACAGAGCAAGGTGAAAACCCGTATGTATATTACAACCCCACGGAGCCCCTGACCATAGTACAATTAAGGCCTGGGAAGAGAAGGCCCAAGAAGAATCACAGTCCTTGAAATCTGAATGCTGGGCAGACCAGGGAAATAGGAAAGCCCAGCCAGGTGACTCTGAAATTTAATGCCTGCAGTGCCATGAGAAGGGGTTGCAACAGAAGGTGCTGGGAAAGAAACTATAGGACAGATCAGAAATACCTCTGTGCCTTAGATTTTTGCAGAAAAGTGGTGTGTGGGCAAATGCGAAAGTTGAAAATGTATGATAGAAGGTGCTTGAGGCTCAGAGCATGTAGCTCAGTGGCTAGGGTACCAGCCCCAGGTTCAAACCCGTCCTGTGCCTGCCAAACAACAATGACAACTCCAACCAAAAAATAGCTGGGTGTTGTGGCAGGCACCTGCAGTCTCAGCTACTTGGGAGGCTGAGGCAAGAGAATCACTTAAGCCCAAGAGTTTGAGGTTGCTGTGAGCTGGGAGACATGGCACTCTACTTAGGGCAACACAGTGAGACTCTGTCTCAAAAAAAAATGAAGGCACCTGAGACAATGAGAGCTGCAGCAAAAGAAATATGCTCAAAAAAAAA